AGGGAATACAATGAGTCAGCCCCACCCGGGGTCCTCCCAGTTGCTGGAAGGTCACCGCCCCATTCCAAGCCTCAAACCACAACACTTCACATGTAAAATTAAAGAAAGTAATTGTAGTTTAATAGCTGTATTAATAGATTCGAGTTTGCAGTATGTAAATGCTAAAGTATGAATGTAGTCTTGGGTTGTAAATGGAACACTTTCCACTTCAAATTCAATACCATAATCATGTAATAACCCAATAGTAAACTACCCAGACTTTGAAACAATGCAATTTATGTATCTGCAGTGAAAAAAAAAATATTTGGAAATTACAAAGCCTTTGGTTTAAGTTGTACAAAGAAAAAAGATGCATCAATTTAGAAGGTAGATTGCATTTTTTTCTGTGTGAAACAAAGTAAAAAAAAAAATAATTTCCAAAGACATGTTATATATGATTTTTCTTCTCTTACGTTACAAAAATAAGTATAGATGAAAATGCCTGAGATTATTTGGAAACTAAAATTGCAGAAATTACCTAGACTTTATAGTATGAACAGTTATCATTAACACAGATATGCTCAAAGAACATAGATTCAAAAGAATTAAATCCAGACCTTTGCCATCACAGGCACAATTTCATTTAATTTCTTCTTTAAATATCTTTAAAATATGGCAATCACATCTAATAAATACACTTCTTTCAGTAAAAAAATTAGAAATTCGTTGTAAAAAGCAACTATTTGGTTTTGCTAAATTATACAAAATAGATTGCATTTGTTGTTCAAATTTTTAAAAAAATTTCTATATTACATACTGTATTTTAAAGCTGTCATTTCAGTCCTCCCTGCTGCTTATTGTTCCTCAGATTTCTTACTTCTTTGCATTTCTCTTTGTCTTGCATAGACCACCAGACTACACCCACAATCACATTTGGGAAACTTTCCTGACATGTGGTTTCTGCAGTTTCCCTCTGCTTTTCATCACTGGTAGAAGGTTCTGTCCCTGTGTTTAGCTGGTTTCACAGATGATTATTGAAACTCTTTTCTTTTACTTACTGCTGGATTGTTTATATATTATTCCATCAGTTTAATTGGACCGTACTTCTTTACAAAATGTGGAAAGTATAAGCTTGTCAGAAGAGATATTTAACAAGTTTGGTTATAATCACCTAAAAAGAAAATACGTGCAGGTAGGAAAATATAAAATGCACGTATTAGTTCCTTAAGGTGGAATAGAGATTATCTTATCACTTTGTGAAATGTCTTTCAAGAGCAGGAATAACAATACACAGATACCTGAACCAAACAAAAAAGCAGAATCATTTTTATGTGCAGCAGGGCCCCTTTCAAATCCTAGACACCTTCCTGTAGGTTTACCTGTTGAACAGAAGCCTTTCTCATTTGTTGAGCCAATATTTAGGCACAAGGTAATGCACGCTTCTGTAGTAAATTCCCAGGAATGGAACTAAATGTGAACTATCTCATTTTCTTTCTTATTCTGTGTCTGGTCACTTAGCTGTCTAGCCCTCTAATATGCATAGGTAAGAATTTCTGTGTAGAAATCTTTCTCTGTAACCCATTATCTACTGCCTTTGGTCAGATTTTAACATTTCAAGACAGACGTGAAAACTCATACTAAAAAATATTGGTTTTAGTCAGGTGTTTGTAGATACATGTAGGTTGTGGTATGCGTCCACTAACAGTGACAGAGAAACAGTCATGCCAGCGTATCCATGGGAAACATGCTGTAAGCCCACCTCCCTTTACAGGCAGCTCACATGGTTTATCTCAGCTGCTTTTCTGAGCCACAAATCTGTATTGTCCTCCTTTGGCATAGACATTTAGATCCTCCTTTAATTTCTGTGAGGACTTCTGTTATTTGTTCATGCTGGGTTTTTTTAGGGAATTAGAAGTTTGCTCTTGGATAGTACCCTTTTTCCACATTCTGTAGATTCTAGTTTTGACCCTCGCACTATATGACTTTAACCTCTCCCTTCCAGTCTCAAGAACTGCACTGCCTGTGATAAAAAATATTCCTGATGGATCTACCCACTGCTTTAGCTTTATGTGAGAAGAAAACATCACATCTAAGAGTTCTGTTTGATATTTAGACCCAGAACTAAGAATGATGAAATACAGTATCTTCTGGAATTTTTATTTACCAAGTCCATGAGCAATTTGATATATTTGGTCAGCAAAGCTAACAGAATACATTTGGATCCTACTCTGTTCACAAATCAGCCCCCAAAAAGAAATGAATATAATCAAAGCCATTCTTGGTCTCAGGGTCTCTAGACTTATGAGCAGAGTAGGGTGCTCCTAAGTGCCTTAGGAGGGATCATACTATCCATGTTTGCACTTCCGTGAAGTTCTAGGACCTTTCAGTCCAAAAGGGTTTGAGGAGAGAATCTGGAAGATTTTATTCAAAATTCTTCTGAAGGAAACAAATGAAAGTAATTCCACTTGAAGACCTTTCTTTCCATTTCTGCACATTTACCATCACCGAGGTGCACAGGCTAAAATTCCTTCTACAAAGTTACTAACTATTTGGCCAGTCATTTTTACTCCGTTTCCAGTCTAGTATCAGTTTGACACCAGGCCACCCAGTGCCATCTACAGATGTGCCACCACCATGTCAACAAGAATATTCTCTCTTCTGTTTTCAGTTCCTATTTTCAGTACCCTTTGTAAAGGGTACTACTTGGGTGCTGATGGTATACTTCTAGTAAACTGTTCCATAAAAATGAGATTACTGTCTAAAACCACCTGAAGTTCTTGCCCACAGTGATTTCTGACCTGTATCTAATTTGTAATCAATAGTTCATGTGCTTTTCTGAAGTCTTATGTTTCTACAGAAATCTTTAAGTTAGCCATCGTAGTAATTAACTAGTTTCTATATTCATTGGACAAAGGACTTTACGAGAACCAGTCATCTTGCCAGGTCCGCATTGGAAAGGTTGAAAGGCTAACAAAAAATGTTCGGCTCGATTATAGCTTGTATAAAGAAAAACACATACCTATGCTTCGTATAGAGGTCCACTCCACTAAAGTAACTGATAGGCCCCTTCAAGTAAAAATGGAGATTACATTGCAATACTTGAGACCCTTAGGTTAGGCACCTGAAGTTCTATCTGCCTCTTTGCTAATTATGGTTACAGTGAAGTTTCAGAAAACGCTGCTGCATTTTGCAGTGTTGTCTTTCAGGCTTTGATAGGCATCCTGAGAACCCCTTCTAGATGGCTGTTGGCAAAATATTGCCTAGAGCTAGTCACAGATTGAATAAAATGAAAAAAAAAAAATCATTCAAAGAAGATGTTCTTCTGATATTGTTTCTGTCCACAAGGAAACTGAAAAGAGATTGTATAAAATAATGTAATCTTACATGTTAGAACATCTTACCAAAGAGAGAGAGATACATTTCTTTTCAAGCACCTCAGTTTAATGGAGTGCAGTGAATGTTGGTGTACAGCATTGGTCAGTGACTATGTAACTTAATCAGTTAAGAATTTGTGCCTAAACAAAATGTAGATCTATACCCTGTGTGCTTTTAAGTGTATATGGAGTACTGTATGCTGCATGTCACTTTATCCAGTACTGCCAGTTTCTCTTTGCTTGAGGCAACCAAATGAATTCCATAGTCCTTAGTTCAGGCTCACAGTCCTAAAACTGGGAGTTTTCTCTTCTACACATTGACATGTAAACATGTGCTTGATAATTTGAGTTCACTAATAAACATAAGAGTGTGAGAACAGCCAGTGCTGCGTCAGATCAAAGTTTCACTGGCACAGTATTCTGTTTCTCGTACTGGCCCACAAGGGATGCTTAAGGAAAGGCAGAAGAACAGTGCAAACTTGTAGCTGTGGTTCCCGCCCCAGAATGCTTTTCCACCTTCAAGAAACCTGTGTCTCAGGAGCTTTCTAAATCAGAGGGAATAGCTTTATATTGGATAAACCTTAATGGATTTTTTTTTCTGTGAATTTGTAATTAATTTTTAATATGAAAACTTCTAACAGCCACTACAATGCTGCTGCAAGGACTTCAATATCTTAATATATGCTTTTTTTGAAAATAACATTATCTTATTCTGAACATGGCGCTTGTGAATTTCATCTGATGCTCCCAGGTCTTCTCCTAGAATAGAGAGTCCTGTGTGCCTGTTCCATTCTACTCAAGATTCTATACACCTCTATCATACCACTCCTCATTTTTCTCTTTTATAGCCTTGAGTGTCCTAGTTGGATAGCCATTCCTTCTACAGAGCAGTTCCCTGCCTTTGATTGTTCTTGTCTTTCTCTGAAGCTTTTCTAATTTTACCACAAATTTTCAAGATGGAAGAGATGGATCAGATCTTCATACTGCATTCAAGTTAAGGAACATTGTTTAGTGTTCTATTTCTTTTCTAAGGGCATACTTAGACATTTTTCCAGAATCATGTTTATATCCTTTAGTCACATTTTACATTGATTGTTCATACACTGAGGTTGCACCATGGTTCTCTTGGATGCTGTCATGACTTGGGTAACTTGCCTTCTTAAATATTTCTGAAGAATGATTTGCATTGATACAAGAAAATAATGTTACCACTCTTTTGTCTTTGTCAGACACTGTAGGAAATAGAAGACGCTGGGAAAGCCTAAACAGGGGTGTCTAGCACTGTTTTAGGTGTCATAAGGTATGTGAGGCACCCACCTGGCAAATATGATACAGCAGATAGGAGAGACTTACACCCTCCTGAAGTGACAACTTGGGGTTCTAAAGAATGCCTTGTGGTATCTAAAAAGACACAAGATACCTTTATTTAGGTGTTGAATTTCTCCCTAGATGGTGACGTGTAAAACAGTCTGTCATATGTCAATCAAGAGAGTTCTGAGTTCTGAATTAGCCGTATTTCTTGGTGAAGGCAGCACAGCAACAGCTGCCATTTTGAATAATTATTGCATGCCAATCTTTTTTTTTTTTAACATTTGCATATAAATACAGGCAATATTTAAAAATACTTTTTTTTTGATTCTCATTTAGGATGCTGGAGAAATGGTTCGATCCTTTGTTGGTGGCTTGGAACTGATAGTCAATTTGCTAAAATCAAAGAATAAAGAAGTTTTAACAAGTGTATGTGCGGCCATTACAAATATAGCTAAAGATGAAGAAAATTTAGCTGTTATAACAGATCACGGAGTTGTGCCTCTGTTGTCTAAACTAGCAAACACAGTAAGTAACATCTAAACATAGTATACTAAGTATCTGAATTTCTTATGTCGGACTACATTATACCCAACTAAAAGGTTATGACCAGAGCAATAGATTTTGCAGCAGCAACAAGCAAGAGCTGTATAATTCTTCTTCTGTGAGATGTATATTGGACATGAAAATGCTCTGAGGCTGTTATTAAAATTGCTTTGGAAGATGAGCTTAATTTTAATAGTCACCGTTGCTGAATATTGCTTTTGAGAGATGCAGCTGCCATATGAAAAAAAGCGCCGAGGGTTGAGAGAGTAACCTGAACTATGCAGAGAATCTCAGTGATGGGGCTACGTGTTACATTTTAATGCTAATCTTATCTTTAGTAAGTCTAAAAGCACCTTTGAAATAATATAAAAAATCACAGCACTTCCTACAAAGAAAATAATAAGGGACTACTAGCCTTGCAGCTCTCTCTAGTTTTTAGTTGTACTGCAGTAAATGGGGATGCCTTAAAGATGTTTGAGAATACAGTACTGCTTTCTTATGAAATTTTAGTGGTATTTTGTTATCTTTAATTCATTGTGATTTTACCTTCTTCAGAACAATGACAAATTAAGATGTCACTTAGCAGAGGCCATTTCCCAGTGTTGCATGTGGGGGAGCAACAGAGTTACCTTTGGAGAGAACAAGGCTGTAGCTCCTTTGGTGCATTACTTGAAGTCGAATGATCCATCTGTTCATAGAGCTACAGCTCAGGCTTTATATCAGCTTTCAGAGGATCCCAACAACTGTATCACCATGCATGAAAACGGAGTGGTGAAGGTGAGGTGGAAGTTTTTTCTTATTTGAAGTTCAAATTATTGAATAGGTTTAGCATGGTTAAAAAGGAGATATGTTTCATTTGAAATAGTCCTTGAATATTGCTGTATTCAATTTCTGAATTTATCCTAAAAATGTTTGGTTAAGTAGTGAATTAGGGAACAGAATTTCGGTGCTAAAGATATTGCAGCTAGGTGGTTGTTAGGAATGGAAATATGTGGACATTCACCTCCAGTATGTTTGGCTTGATTCTGACCTAGGCTAATAATAACATGACATCAGCATTTTGTCATACTCATGTGACTTTTGCAAAAGAATTTGGGTTATCGTAATGGGTAGTTGCATAGTGTGACAGAAAGTCACCTTGGAACTGGATTTCAGGACACATTAAGATAGAATAATACTGAGGCTTAGTTTGCTTGGAGCTGTTTCAGTGAACTTAAAAAAATATTTTAGGAGTTAAGTGTGAGCACATTCTGCAAAGACTTTACTCTAGAAAGATTTTTTTCTCTCAAAAAGATTTTTCTAGTAAAGTTTTATCTCAGTAGTTGAAGCCAGCTACTACTTTGGCACAGGAGAGGTAAGGATTATGGCCTTAGAGATAGCAACTGTAGGAGCTCTCAATTTTCTTAAGTTTCCTGGAAGATTCACTGTTTGCAGACTTTTCATTTTACTTTGTGTTCAGGTAAATATATCGAAAGTAGGAGTTTACTTAGTGTTACTATTAGTTGAATAGTGTTACTATTAATGTTGAATTCATGCCTGCACTAGTGATCATGTACTGTATTGTGAGCAGTTTCAATCCTGGCATAGTCTAATTGTCCTGCATTAGCATCCGTGTATCTGTAGCTGGCTATAGGTGTAGGTGAGTTAAAAATATCCACTGATGAAAAACGTTTAAAGACTCAGATGAAATGCCAGTACTTGGGCAGACTGAAATCTAAACAGCCTTTTCAGTGTAGGAAAGCAAAATCTTCCCATCATAGTTGTGTTATACTGGCTACACAGCACAGCTACCTACAACATAGGTACTGTACTACAGCTCAATTTTAAACTAGTGTCTGATGACTTTTTAATGTTGCTTATCTTTCTGTTCAACTGACAGAAGCCATTTGCTGCCCTTCTGTCATCCGTTGTTTCCATTCATTTTATTATGCGGGTTTTAAGTTTTATAAGTTGTAGCACACTGAACGTACTGTATAAAGTCAATTCTGATTATATACTTTTGTAATAATTTTATCTCAGTCTAGGTTAATCTTTATTTTTCAAGCCTAGTTAAAATATCCAGGCTTACTAAAAACATTTATTTGCCCTTGCAGATAAATAGGGATGAATAGAAAACTATCACAGGTGCTTGATTTTTTTTATTATTCACAATATTCTGGAATGACTATAATATGTTACAGGAGAGAAAAGAGCACTGATAAAAGGAAGAGTGGAACTACAAAATGAGTGAACTTGGGTTATGTTTGTCACATCTAAAGTTTTTGTGGAGGGTGTGCTTCTCGTGCACAAGAAACTTGTATTTTTGTAATGCAGGAGGTGTTTGAATGTGAATTTGTATATTGGCCCATCAAGAATCAAAGTGGAAGTGCCTTTCATCTCATAACTAATGGATGACCTGAACATATGAGAGGATACTATGACTGCAGCATAGGCTTACCCATTTTTTAAAAAAAATGTAGTTTGGTTTTGCACCTGTTTTTCAGGGAATTGAATTCTCCCACTCACAAGAGGATAATACATATGGTCATCTAGAATTTCTAACCCTAAATAAAGCCTGGTTTCATTAGCAGTGATCCTGCTGTGATGTTTCCAGCCACTTTCTAATGCTTATATGTTGCATTAAAATAGCAAAGCAAAGCAACAAATAAGCTTTTGTGGAGGATATATCAGTACATATACTGCTTCCTATCCAGTGAGGACACCCATATAATAAATGAAGTGTGATGGGCAGTCTGAGAAAATGCAGTCTGTGGGACTTGTGAGAGTTCCTCCGGATGCACTTACCCAAGTCCTTTAGTTCTGTCTTACCAGAGCGGAGCACATCATGAAGTGAATCAACGCATGCACCATGACAGCTCAGGGCCAATCTGTGTTGGCACTGTTGGAATTATCATCAGGAATCAATTACTGGAGTTTCCTAAAGGTTAAAGATGCATACCCACATGGCAAGGAGATTGGGTGCAGATTTAGTTCCTGAAGCGTGAGAGTCAGTACAGTGCAGAACCTTGCCTGGTCTACTCAGTTATCTGCCCAGCACAGGTGAGACAGTAGCTGCAGCACTGTCTGTGCTATTTGGTGTCTTTGCCCCGTGCTTTTCAGCGATGATAGATTGTCCGGGTGTTTTCATTCTTGTAGCCTCTCCAGTGGATAGCTGACTGAAAGCATACTTTGTAGTTATGTAGGGGTTATGGACAGATTTTTCCAGGACCAATCGTGTTTTTACTTCTGGAAAATTTGTCTGTGTTCCTTTGATATTTTTTCAGCCTTTTACCAGATATCTGGTGTTTCAGTAATCATGCCCAGTTGGGTTAATGTTGCAGCTGTTGTGGTTCCGACTAGGTTGCAGTACATGCATAAACCCAGGTGTTCTCCAGCACGTGGTCCTGCGCTATGCTTACACAGAAAGTCTGATGCTTCGGGGAGACATTTACTCTGCATGAATGACACAGTTGCTGAGTGCTTGAACAGCTGGTCAGAGACTTTCTCAAAGCATCAGACTTTGTGACCATTCAATACACAATGTGTATATTTTTATATGTTTCTGTCCAGGAAACCAGGAGTAAAAATATATAGAAGTCATTTCAACCAGATTCTCGTAGTTCATCTTCTGCTAATCACAGAACAAGTATACACATGCAGTTGTGAGAGAGAACCAGCATTCCAAGTTTTTACCTATTTTTAACTCCACCAAAAATACATTGTTTTCTCAAGCAAGGCTGTGTGACAAAAAAGGCTGGGAAGTACTGGTGTATGTCAGCTGCCATGTGAAGTTCTGCGTAGACCAATAAGGTGATTTTGGAGGAAGTTTAGAAAGGCAGTTTATGAAACCTTTTCTCTTTTATGTTCAGTTCCACACTCAATATTCTTATGACTGGGAATGAAAACAATGGTTATGACCTGTGACAGATGAATCAATGCTTTCCTTCTACCAAACACCAGAAAATAGTCCCTCTTTCTGATGTAAAAATTCATGGCCGTGCTGGAAAAGAGATTTGTGTTTTCAAAGACATGGTAATGACATGTCGGATACTAGAAAGCAGGAGAATTTTTAGACATCAGACTAAGGAACAGGCATCAACCTGAATTCAAGATTGGAGATGGCTATCCACAAACCAAGGGAGAAGAGAAATCCAGTAGGGAACTGCCAGTTCATAGCCAAGACAAGCAGGAGTACCAGGCAACGTTCTTCACACTTGGAGCCTGTTACAATTAGAAGGAAGAGAAATTGCAAAAGTCATGGACAACTGGAAGTATCTAGCCATCACCACATTCTTCATGGAAAAAGCAGAAAAAATTCCCTTAAAATGTAGCAGTTGTAAAGGAACAAAGATGTCTGCCTATGGCTTACTGCTGCTGAAACGTTAGAACGGGCAAGCTTTTTCATGAAAACATCTCCAACCATCCACTGAAGAGTACACTTTCTTTATAGAGCATCTTTTAAGATTAATTGTAGGAAAACTGTTCTGAAAGGCACAGGCAGATGAGGATGTGCAGCTACTTCAGTAGAGAAAAGATGAATCTAAATATGTTTTAAAGAAAGAATTCAAGTAATCTGAAAATCCTGAAAGAGTATTTAAATCATTGTCCTAGAGACCTTGTCACAGTGTTGAATTAATACAATGCTTAGAGAAGCATTTATATGGAACTTATACTGTGTTACAGTCACCCTTTTTCTTGATTATGTTGGCAAGCTGTAGATTGGGATATGCTTCTGAAGTAAATGAGTGAGGGTGATGATGTGTACAAGCACTTAGGAAACTGCTCATAATATACCTTCTAAAAGACTTCAGATATTTCCAAAAGTTCAAAGTATATACAAGTGAAAAACATGTAACTGATTCTTCCTGGTCATTCTTGCTTTCCAGATGAAGAAAGATAAAAGATAATCTCTTGTGGAAGTTAATCTCTAAGTGATATATTTGGGTTTGTGGAATATTGTTGTTAATTCTGTGTAAAGAAAGCCTAGGAAGTTTGAATGACTTCATCATCTACAGAGTTGAGGCCAGTTTTTTATAATGAGGCTAATGAGACCCCCCAAGGAGATTATCAAAGTAATGAAAAAAGTAAAATCAAGGGAAAATAAGCACCCAAAATCACGCTTTGGAAGAACAAAATTAATAAAAGTCATAATTCATCTCAACTTTAAATGTTTACATTGTGGATATGCCCATCTGAAATAGTCACCCAAATTCTTACAATAGTCAAGGAAGAGGATTATATTCTTTGTGTTCCATCTCTCCTAATTTAGGCATTTATAAGGCACCTCAGTCTCCACTGGCAGTATTTTCTAGTCTCCTTTGGCTATAATGGAATTGCAAGTTTAAAGTTCAGATCTGTGCTTCTGCACTGTAGATATCTATGTTTAATGGAGTGGATCTCATCCCAAGGCAGTGGAGAACTTGTTAAATGACTATACAGTCCAGTTCATTATTACATAGGAATGAAAAAAATCCGAATAATAATGCAATAAAAAAGAGGTATTAAAAAAAGTAATAAATTCATTTTCTAGAAAAATACAGATGAGATATATGCTCTGATGGTGATGAAACACTATCTGCCCAGCAGTAACTGAGGCACACTTTGAACATGATCTAATAAAACCAGATGCTTTAAATTAGTGGATCTAACTTGAATCCAGGGATTTTGAAAAAATCTTTGGAGTATTAAGGATGAATTCCTTTCACCTAACTTTGGCCACTATTCTGTATGGAATTTAAAGCAGTCTAAACTAATAGACCTTCTGTAGTCAACTGAAAGAGAGAGGCACATGCAGACTT